GAATGCCACTCCTGGGCATATACCCTGAGAAAACTCTAATTTGAAAAGACACATGCACCCCAGTGTTCACTGCAGCACTATTTACAATAGCCAAGACATGGAAGCAATCTAAATGTCCATCAGAAGATGAATGGATAAAGAAAAGGTTGTATATATATTCAATAGAATACTACTCAGCCATAAAAAGGAATGAAATAATGCCATTTGCAGCAACATGGATGGACCTAGAGATTATCATACTAAGTGAAGTAAGTCAGAGAAAGACAACTATCATATCACTTACATGTGGAATCTAAAATATGATACAAATTAACTTCTTTACAAAACAGAAATAGACTCATAGACATAGAAAACAAACTTAAGGTTACCAAAGGGGAAAAGATGGGGGGAGGGGTAAATTAGGAGTTTGGGGATTAGCAGACACAAACTGCTGTAATATAAAATAAATAAACAACAAGGTTCTACTGTATAGCACAGGGAATTACAGTCAATATCTTGTAATAAACCATAATGGAAAATAATATGAAAAATATGTATATGTAAAACTGAATCATTTTGCTATAAACCAGAAACTAACAGAACACTGTAAATCAACTACACTTCAATAAAAAATAAAATAAAATAAAATAATGAAAAGGAATAAGTAAATAAATAAGAGTTTCATGTTGGAGGAGTTTCACGCCACGTTTATTCTTCAGCATAATTTTTATGTTGACAGTTACTCGTTCTGAATACATGATATAAGATCATAATTTGGTTAGCTAAAGAAAACTGTATTAAACTGAATTCAAAAAGTTGACAATTCAACTGCATATATTTTCTGTTTTGTAGAATGTAAATGCTCCCCACCCCTCAAAGGAAAGACACAGTTACTTTTAGAACCTTTACATATGAACTACATCCACAAGACCCTTCTCCGTTCAGACATCCTATCTACTTGAGGAAGAAATGAGTTATAAACAAGGAAGTGACTCCAGAATTTATCTAGCCCCACATTTTTATTTCACAGAAGAAGAAACTGACGTGCTTGATAACAAGAAGTTTGTCCCTATTAGTAGATGGCAGACCCAGAAGTAGAACTCATATTCAGTATATTAGTCCATGATTTCTTCTCCTGAACCATCAGATTCCCACAAAGCTTTCCTCCCCTTTCTGTGAAACATCCATTCTGCCATTTTTACTTGTCCTAGAACGTCAGTGCGATACTGTCAAGTCTTAAATAATGATTCTTGAACGCCAGGATATCGTTGCATGTGATATGTACATATCCTGGATTAGAATGTAATGGATCAGTGCAGGTTTGCTTGGATTTCTCTGTAATTAGCTTCCAAAGTAATACTTCCAGACCATGTGCCAGTGCATGCCAGAAGTAAATATGCTGATCGTGTCTTTGGTTGATTATGACGGTCTTCTACTGCTGTTAATACTAATACTTTTCCCATCTCCAACTGGCTTTACTTTTTGCAGCTTTGAGCAGTAATTCAGTCCCCTACGCCTCCCTGATTGGCTCTGTGTCCTCCCTCTCTAGCCAAACCACCACTCAGTCCATATATGATAATAACTCTCTCCCACGATTCGCTCGAAAAGGTCTAAACATCTTTGTCTCTATTATTTTCTCTGTTAAAGCACTGTAATGGATGTCCACATCATTCCATTTCCAGATAAACCTAGAGTCTCTTGTGCCTTTGCATTTCCACTCTTGTCATTGGGGGCGCCTCATCTGGATAAGATCACTTTAATTATCAGACCACCGTCACCCACCCTCTCCTTCCACAAAATGTAAATGAGTTCAATTCTACCATCTATAGGGAAAAGTTTCAGGAATGGGTTCCAACATTTATGTCCAAATGCATAATTATATCAGCAACAAAGAGTTTCTACTTCCAAGGCAACTCATTTTCATTGGCTCTTCCATTAAGATTTTAGCTGACTGAAAACAGACTTTCGTAGCCATGAACACTAAAATACCACCTATCACAGCACAGTGCTAAAATGATTGGAAGAAGCAAAATAGTTTTTTACCTGACTTACCAAACCATTGATAATTCAGCATTTGAGACAAAGGAACTCACTGGGTGGCTTTCAATAACAGCACAATATCTAAAATACCCATAAAGTAATTACACATTGTGTTGACCTAGTGGTCACCATACCACAGCCTGACACCCTCCAAAGAGTCCCAGGGACGGCAGAATGTCAACATGGCTTCCAGTTTGAGCCCCTCCCTCATTCTTTTTCTAAGTCAGAGGCTTCCCTGGGGGCATGCTAGTTCACGTTTTTCTAGTCAGCTGGAATCTGCATCTTTAAGACATGAGTCAGCAGTGCTCTCTCATGGTGCTCTTGAAAAATTAATCAGAAGAAGTAACATGTAAATCACATGAAAAGTGAGAAACCATTGTACAGCACAGGAATCACCAAAATTGGTGGATTATTTTTACCAGAATCTATGAATCTAACATACCTTCAGCTGGCAGACTGAACTAAGATGTATCACCCACTGTCATTGCTTTCTTTTTCCACCTTCTTTTTCCTCTTCATCCTTTCACCATTTGCTCCCTTTCCTGCATTCATTTCCCATTAGTGGACAAAGATGTTTACACCTGAAGTGGATTGTAGGTTTGCTGGGGGTTAAATAACGGGGGCTTGGGGCAAAATACCACAAAGCTGTCAGTGTGGCCATCAATAAATGTCCAGGAGAAGGCTGCAACCCAATCTCTACAATCTGCTACGAGTGAAAACATTTTTGAAACTCAGTTTGGTGTCTGATTTTGTCATCAGTGATTATTGTCTGCGAGCTGTGGTGCATGTCCTTCTTTGTATCCACTTATGCATGTGAATGTCAGTCACCTACAGGTTTGTGAAATATTAAAGCGATCTTAATCTAGTCACAGTGTATAGTGGACCCTGTAAAAACCTGCAGCATTTTTATTAGTCCTTTAAAAAAGTATATCAGACTATCCATTTCATTTTTTTTTTTTAACAAATTCATTCTGTTTTATTTTATTTACACCATCATTTCCTTTGCAGGTTCAGATGATTCCGGTTACCCTGGTAACCTTCATTCTTCAAGTTAGTTTTCCTTGATTATGCATAAGTCACTTTATGTTTCCTATCAAGCTATTACGCTTTTCCTTTTAGGGCTTTCTCAGTATATTTTCTTAGTTCACTTTACACCATTTAATTCCGCACAGTTTTCATTTCACACAGTGCAGGAGAAGGAGTTTGAAATGACATAACAGTCATTACTCAAAGCAGAAGTTGACATTAAGCCTGACTGTCAGTTTTCTCCACGAGCTAATAACTGCATTGATTCATAGCACAATAACGCTTTCTTTCACACTAGGAGTGTTAGTTTGGGGATTATGCTTGGTAGCTTTTCATTTGGCTACAAAATTCATCCTTCCAGAGAGCATGTCCTGCTTTGAGTAACCAAACTATCTGCCTGCTTCCTCACATTAAACATCTTTACTACTCACATATTTTCAGGCCATTTCTAACTATAGTATTCTCTATATTTTGGAATAGTTAGCTTCATTCGTTTTCAAATGTCTTTATTCTTTCCTTTTAATAGGTATGGCTAGCCATCCTCCAATACCTATCTTGGAACTCGCAGATCACATTGAAAGGTTAAAAGCAAATGACAACTTGAAGTTTTCCCAGGAATATGAGGTAATTAAGTGTGTTTATACTTGACAGTATTTTCAAGAATTGCCCCCCTCTTCTTCTTGACCATATTCTTAAAAACTAATTTCATCAGTTCTGTTTCCTTTAAATATGACTCAGCATCTGATATAAAAGTTTATAACAAATAGCCAACTTAAAAGTATCTGTATAATTAATGTAGTAGTTGTACTCTGAAAGGTATTGAATTATTTATATGCGTTTGGTGTTACTTAATGAGGTTGATTTATCTTCACTGATTTCAAGTTCACAGACTATACTGAATGTATAAGCTTCCCAGTATACCAAAGGGGTGCCAAATACACTGATTTATGGTCAGAAGGCTCACTGAAAAAGAAATTACATGGAATAAGCAGATTTCCCAGTACTCTTTTTCAGTTTTACATGGCCTGAAAACTGTAATTATTAAGTACATACACATGATTTTACCATTCAGTCTAAATAATATTAGGGCTAATATTAAGATAGTAATATGTTCGCAGAAAGCTGCCTGTTTTTGAAGCTAGTGAACTTAATGGTATCTTAAATTTTCAGAATGCTTAAAGGTTTTGTGTGAATCCTTGATGAAAATGAATAAAAAATTGTTGTATATGTCTGGGTATTTGGATATTGTGGCATTTGTCAAGCAGAAAGTTGTAAAACTGGATATTTATGGTATTTCTCAGAAACCGGGACCCATAGTGAAACTAGTCCATGGATTATTCATAACTAAATGATCATTTATCTTTTAGATCAAGTTTAACTTAGTGTAAGATTAACATGTCCAACTAAAGTCTTCTAATTGTGCCAAATAACAAAACTGTTCCGAACAGTTCAAATTCTACCATAAAGAGTTCCTGATTTACTTAACGGGAGGCTTAAAACACATGCTTGTTACATCCCTTGGTTTCTGTTTTATCAACCTGAAATGAGGCTGATGGACTAGATACCTCTCAGTCCCCAGCAGCTCTAACATTTTGCCCTGTCATATTCGGTTAGAAAACTGTAAGAGGAGCCCTAACCTCAAGTGGCTAGAGGGATATCAGCTTTGTGAAGAAGCTCCATGTAAGAGAATGTGGCGCAGTGGTGCCTGCGGCAGTCTGGATATTTGCATGGACTTTCTAAAGTCTTTAAACGTTCACATTTGGATCATTTAAATTAATTGTGCTGGCTAAGCAAAACCTATCTGTAGCCCCGTGTACCTTCTTCACCTTCAAGAGCTGGTGACCTTTTATGCAATTTACACACTCCAGCATCTTTGTCAAATATTTGATAGAACGCAAAGGAGATTTTGTTTGTTTGCTCATTGGTTGAGTTAACACTTTCCTGTATTCTGTTCTAAGCGTTTAGGAGAACGTTTTCAATTTTAGGAAACACATTGGATTGTGAATTGTCTTATTTTCTAAATGGGCTGCTTCTTATTTCTTTCCTGTTCTTCCTCTTAGTCATAAAGGCTCTTTGTAAATTATGCAGTATTCTTTAAAATAGTTTCTGTAGTTTCTGGTTTGAGGCTTGAGGCTGAAAATTGAGTTTTAAAAAGAAAACAAGGCATATGATGAATGCCATTTGGGGCAACATAAAAACTCTTAGTTGAGTGTGTTAGTTTTCACCAACCAGAATCTTTCTCTCCTCCAACCTCCTCTTTATTGTTATCGTGAGTATTGTTATTGTTATGCTTAGTGTTTCGCTATGTGTGATATGATGGGTCACAAAAAAAATAAATAAAACTTGATAGCTCAACCTGTTAATAAGCTATTAATTGTCAATACCATTGACAGTATTTGCATCATTCAAGCAATCTCAGTTGTATGCGTTGACTACAATAACTGGCCTCCTTTAAATATGGAATTTCTCCAGAAATGCTACATGTAAAGACACTCTAATGATACTCATTTAGCCATTAGATTAGAAGTGCTCCTTGAAAGTAGTTACGAACTGCATGCTGGCAGCATTCCCATTAAGAACTCCCCCAGTAGCCGTTGACATGATAGCCCACACTGACTACCATTTATCACAACAATGATCTGTGATTAAAGCTCCCTGGGCATGAATTGACTCTACGGTGCCTTAACAGCCATGAAGGGGATATTTAAGTGATGTATTCGTCTGTGATAATATGATAAAGACCTCTACATAATATTTTAGGCCATAAGCAACACATTGAAAAAAAAATTTTTTTTTGCATATTATCTCCATATAAATTTGAATAGATTTTTCATTGGTTTTCAGTGAAGAAAATGGAGAAAACAAACACAAGTCATTACTTTCAAACATGTAATTATTTTGGCATAATCACTATGGATTAATGTTTACTCAGACCTCTCAAGATGGGTAAAGCTAAATTTGTTACTCTGATTCTAAGACTAAAGCAGAAGTTCAAGGCATGAAACCTGTTTGCACTGATCCTGAGGTCAGGATAGGAGGAAGTGGGTTTAAATTATAGCACAGTATTATTAGATCATGTGAGAGACTTCCTTTACTGTAAAGAAAATTGGTCTCAGACATCGGATTCAATGACAGCTGGAAGAAGGAACCTGAGAAATTAGTATAACTGCATCCTGAAGGTCTTTACAATTACTTTAAGCTTTTATTTTCTGCAGTGCGACTGCCCAGTCCTACTAGAATTTAAGTCCAGAATTTGAGGATGGCATCTAGAATGCAGGGAACAAAGTCCTCCTTAAATGTGGTATCACTGTCAAAGTCAGTACATCAGGCCAGTGAATGTTTAGACTGATTCAGAATAGTTGTGTAGGTCTTGCCAAATAAACTCTTAGCCAATGCCTATATATGGATCATTTGGAGGCCTAATTAAAATCCAAATTCCTGGTCCGAACTTCAGAAATGCTGGTTCAGTAGTCCAGCCATGGCAATTAGAAATGTCCATTTTATTTCTTTATCCCCAGTTTTATTGAGACATAATTGAAATTTAACATTGTATTAGTTTAAGTCATATGATATAATGATTTGATATATGTGTATATTGCAAAATGATTACCACAATAAATTTAGTTACAATCTATCACCTCATATAGCTACAAATTTTTTTTCTTGTGACGAGACCTCTTAAGATCTACTCTTAGCAACTTTCAAATACACATTATGGTGAACCATAGTCACCAAGTTGTATATTACATCCCCAGGACTTATCTTATACAGTTAACCCTTGAACAACATGGATTTGAACTGCACAAGTCCACTTATACATGGATATTTTTCAATAGTAAATGCTAACTACAAATTGTACGTGTATTAACTCCTGCATTGCTCAAGGGTCAATTGTAAAATGGAAGCTTATACCTTTTGACCACCTTCACTCATTTCTGCCATCCTCCACCCTATGCCTCTGGCAACCACCAATCTGTTCTCTATTTCTAAAACAAATTTTTTTTTTTTCAGATTCCACATAAGTGAGGTCATACAGTATTTGTCTATCTGGCTTATTGCATTTAGCATGATGCCCATGCCCTCAGAGTCCATCCATGTTGTTACAAATGGCTGAATTTTCTTTTCTCTGATCTTCATTTCACCATTTCCTAAGATGGCAAATAGATCTGTGTATGAGATTCGTTTGACAGGCATCGCAGTCAACATTATCATTATCAACATCATATACATGAATCCTATTTATATCAGATTGGCTATAAGTAACCACAGCCCCTAGAGTTTGCTTCATGGAAAATAAAGGGTCGTTTGTTTTATCTATTATCTATTATAAATATATTTATTTATTTACATAGAGCCAAAGGCTACCCATGCAGGTATGCTTCAAGAACTGTTATCTAAAGTGAGAGAGACAGAGAAACACAAATATCGTTTGATATCACTTATATGTGGAATCTAAAGAATGTTACAAATGAATTTATTTACAGAACAGAAACAAACATAGAAAACTTATGCTTACCAAAGGGGAAGGAGGGGGGCCTAAATTAGAAGCTTAGGATTAACAGATACACAGATACTATAAATAAAACAGATAAACAACAAGGTCCTACTGTATAGCACAGGGAACTATATTCAAATATCTTTTAATGATCTATATTAGAAACAAATCTATACAAAGAATAGAGAGAGAGAGAGAACTGAATCACTTTGCTGTACACCAGAAACTAACACAACATTGTAAACCAACTATACTTCAAGAAAAAATTTTAAAAATTTAAAAAAGAACCGTTATCTGAAACTGGAGGACTGTAGAGATTTTCCAACACCCTCTCTGAAACTCTCATCTTTGTGTTTTTCTCTGGGCTGCTCTATTCTTTCCCCTGTACAGGCCAGCTTCTTCTGTTTCTCCCACCCACGAACAGAAAATATATCCTTTGATCATATTTTCTTTTACATAGAGTCCCCCTAAAGAAAGAGACAATTCTTCTTGTCAGTCAGATTCCAAATGCCAGAGAACAAACTCTAAACTTCAATTGACTCATTGGGTTGTGAAGACACACATTAGGACACAGCCGCTAACAGCCCATCCCTGTATATCTGGTTCCTTCCTTGGATTGAAGAGAGCAAAGTTATTTCTGAGCTGGAGGAAGAACCAATAATTATCCACCATACTGCCGTGGAAAAGCACCACGCTAAGTGCTGAGAGGAATGGAAAACTTATAAGAAACCTTTATTTCCAGGATGTCTAGAAGGCAAACTTAGATATATACCCTGTCCCCCACCACCCCCCCCCAAATACTAAGAAGACCATCTAGAAGCTAATCCTAAGTACTAAGGCAATGCTGTTGGGATTCAGTAAAGGTACTGAAGAAAAGGTAGTACTGAGAGTATAACTCGGAAGAACGGGAGTAAGAAGCATTTTGTCAGGCGGACAATGTACTTCAGGTACATTATAGATTTTATACCTTTATTTTCTACTTTGAGAAAATAATCCCCCTTTTAAACATAGTTACAACAGCAAATTTTCTTCCAGCTTCCTAACAGCTGACTTACAAATTACTTTTTGGACCACAATCCATCCTGCCATGGCAGTTAGATAGACATGAATAGTTATCAAACATCTAGTT